GTAATTACAATTTCTAAGATGGTGTTGATTCTGCCCGTTTTGAATAAATCAGTGTGGAGCTTCCCCCAACCCCCAACCTTTCCCCTGGCTCAGTGTAACTATGGCCCCATTTGTTCTGCAGAAAATCCACCGAGCTCTGAACCAGACCTATGAGGACGTGAAGAAGAAGCAGGGCGCCAACACAGAAAAAAGGTGACAAAATGGCTGCCATTATGGAGACCTGTTTACTGTCCTTGTCCTTTCCTCCGTAATCACTGATCTGACAGGACATGAGTAGAATCTAGAAGAAACAATATATAGTTGAAACCTTTCAAGTCCTTTTAACAGTGGTAATGACTCTGAGGGAAGGAAACAAGGAGGGGAAGCAGTCGTATTACTAAGGGCTGGATTCAATCCGTATCGCGGAAGTATCCCCGTTAAAAGGTAAAGGTCATTTCCGATTGAGCCGACATATGCAGCGTTTACAGTGAATGCAGCGTTTACCCCGTACACGGGAACATTGCCTTTAAATTTCAATCGAGCTTTAACGCGGATCTTCTGCGATACGGATTGAATCCAGCCCTAATACTGAGATACAGATTGAAAGCGAGCTAACACACCAGTAGTGGTTGTTTATGCACCTGACCTGTCTTTCTTTCTTTACTGACACAAGCCTTTTATCTCCCTGAAGCTGCAACATCCAGAAGAACCAGCCTCCCCCAGACCCCCCTTCCCCCGGCGCCTCGGCCACGTGGAACAACGAGAGCAGCAGGGACTCTGCCGCTGCAGCCGCTAAGGACAAGCGCGTCCACTTCAACCTGGAGACCCTCAACAGCCGCCGCCTTCTAGCCCGGGCCGTGGCCGAGTCCGAAGGGGGGTCCACTGGAGGGGACACTAACCCTGGGACCAACCCGGCCACACGGGTCTGTGCGAATGGGGGCTTCGGGACTTCCTTTGCAAGCCTGGTGCTCTCCCTCCCCTCCTCCTCTTCTTCATCCATCCCTTCTTCCTCTTCCTCGTCAGGCGTTCTTCTGAGGCCGGGGGAGCTGCAGGAGCTGCAGGAGAGGATTGACCTGATCCGGGATCAGCTGAGGACGGCTCTGGCCAGGAGGGCCGAGCTGCAGACTTCCCTGGCCAAGGAAAAGGCTGCCTGCTCCGCCCCCATAGTGACGGGAATGCCCTCCGTGGTTGTAGCTGCTGCAGCCCTCCCCACCTCCACCCTCCCATCCACCCGCTGTGCCACCACCATGACAGACCCTGTCCTCAAGTCCCTGCCCCCAATCTGCACTGCCCCTGCCAAACACACCAATGAGAAGAGCTGATGCCCCCTGGTGTTTGGACACAACCAATGGTATATTAGGGATATCAGGGGAGGGGTTTATGAAAGCAGCTGGATTACCTTGGATTGGATTTGTCCAATTAATGTGAGCCCAATGCCGTAGCATGGCAGCTCTTTCCCTGGACACCAACCTTTTACTATTGGGTGAGATGGAAGAGCTTCCAGGGCACTGGGAATTCCTTGTGATCTATATGTGCCCAATTGGTCCTCACATGGTTGGTAGAATGTATGTGTTGGTGTTTGGGCTACCTCAGGCCTACTTGGATCTACCATGCCAATGGAGTGGGGCTGGAGGTACCAGCATGCCCCGATGACCGAGCCCCGCTGGCGCTGCACCCATTCTGGGAACGTAACCACTGTCTTTCCAGTGCTCTCTCCTCTCCTCTGCCACAGGACCCAAAATGGCTGCCACCTGCAACCTTCTGTTTCCAGTCTCTGTTGATTTTAGTGGTGGGGCTCACAATGGTGTGGCGGTAACTGAATTTGATCAACAATGCGATGGCAACCTGAAACAATCTGTACTATGTGGAGTTCAGACAGTATTCAAATCAGGAGTGGTGCTTTTATGGTGTTTCTGTTGTTTTTTTCCCTTTGAGATCCGAGTCGATATTGTTCACTGGCCTTGATTAACATGTTTTTCAAAAATAAAGTGTGATGGAAGTGTTGGTTGAAATGTGAATTCTTGTCAAGCGTACTTTGTGTGGTCTGTATTTTTACCTTACAGCTAGGTAAACAGAGGAAAAGTGGGGGTGTTTTCCTTATAGAAATGCTGGACTATTTCAGTGATAGTGTAATACAGGCTTACTACCTGTTATTCTAACTCTTTCTAAACATTTATACAAGAAACAGGGTGTCATTTTTCCTTTATGACATGGGATCCTTTTGTTAATCAGGTGTGAAAATATGGATGTGACATTATTTGGAATAGCCTGTGTCAGCGTTTCCCAAACTCGATCCCGGGGACCCCAAGGGGTGCACATTTTGGTTTTCACCTCAGCACTACATAGGCCTAGATGATTCAAATAATCGACTCATCAACCTTTTGATTATAGTGCTAGGGCAAAAACCAAAACGTGTACACCAGGTTAGAGTTTGGGAAATGCTGGCCTATGTCAAACTACAATAACTAGTGGTGCAAGTAAGCCTACATACTGAAGGCTAGGATTTCCATAACCCATACTAGGACACACAAACAAATAACCACACCAATGACAATTAATTGTGCGAAGAATGCTTCTTCTGCACTTAGTTTACTGAACAGTTAAATACATTTGAATGAGAGAAGGAATCTAGTCCATCAGGATTCGTTTACATTGTCTAAAATGAACTAAAAATGGACAGCAACTGTTGCAAGGATACAATCATCCCACTTTCTCTTACAGAACGCCATATAGGCACAGATAAAGAAACAACTGATCATAGAACGTCACTGATGGAGCATATTATTGTCGCATCGGTAAAAGTCTCCTCTTATAGAATGAACAAGACTTTCACTTTAAACTGACTTCATGTCATATTGCACAATTTGGACCTTTCAACCCAGAACCACGTCCTCGGTCCTGCCCGTTGCATAGCCATGACTGCATCTCCACCCAACTCACTGAACAGAAATGATTATACTCCCTCCTGTCTTAATAGAACTAACAATGTAAAAGTCTAACCCATTTTGCGAAATGTTCCTTGTTTATGGTAATTCCGTTGAAATATAAACAATTTTCCACTGATATGAGGCCACTATACGTCAAAAAACTGCTTCCATTTGACTGCCAAGGAAACCTCAACATGCACTTCCACTAATAATATCCAATTCGGAATCATAAGGCATCATCAAAATAAAGCTCTCTGGTCAGGAGATTGTTCTCAGTTGGAACATTGAACACACCTGTCATTATTCCCTGTTCATTCTGCCCTGCCAGTTTCTACTTCTATGGAGTTATCATTTCAAAACCTCTCAACGTGTGTTACACCCTGTCCATGTTAGAACCGTGTTCAGCTAGTTCCAGAATGGGGAAACATGATGTCAGGTCCATCTGATGACAGGTATTTTGTCTCACAGTAGCATCTTCCTAGGCTTGCAAGTCCAGTTATTTAGTCTCTCGTGTGCTATCGAACATAGCAGTGGCCACACAAGTCTGGTAAAGTTTCCAAGGTAGTCTTCATCATCATCTGGAGGTTTTAAAACAAGAAAAATGAAATATGAATTCTAAATACGCTCTTTTCCAAATTAAATTGGTGTCAAAGACTTGCAATTACATCCCAACTTGCCCTTTGTGCAGCTGAATGGTAGATCTCAATGACACGTGTAATGGTGATGGGTTAGCGTGGTTACAGTAGCTTTACCCTGAAGCCATTTAACATCGCCTGCTATCATCTTGTGCTAGTCTGGGGCAAAGACCTGTGTGTTACCAGCTTAGAGTGGGCCGCCGTCAGCTGATGCCATGCACCAGAAAACATCCTCCTTATAGAACTTCCTTCTTCCTGTCACATGCTCCTCTTTTGGAATACAGGTTGCAGTCCAAGTCAGGGTTTCCCAAAGCCCGGGTGCACGTTTTGGTTTTTACCCTAGCACTACAGAGCTGATTCAAATAACCAACTCATCATCAAGCTTTGATTATTTGAATCTACTGTGTAGTGCTAGGGCAAAAACTAAAACATGCACCAGGACCGAGTTTGGGGGCCATGGGGACTTGAATAGTGACTTAACACTGAAGACCATGAAACAGGTGTTTAAGGCAACGGTCAAGCCTTCCAGTTGATTCTGTTGTATCTGCACAGTGAAGCGATAGCAATTTGAAAGACACAAAATATGGTAATGAGGTATGGGTGAGAGAATGGGCCTAGTGTCCTGACAGCACACAGAAAAGCTCCCAGAGGGAAATAATGATGCAGTTTCACTCAAAAGGGGTTAAGACGAGAGAAACTGCAGCCATGATGGCTCAAGCAATACGGGGAGCAACTGCCACCCACCGATCATCGTAAGAGCAGGTCTACTTAACACTCCAAACAGTGGATATAAACTCCATTTCCCATGATTCTCCAGTCAGGGGTAGAGCTAGATTGTGGAGCCGGTTGCCAGTTAGGAGTACAACCTCCAAACTGTAGAAAAAGTTGAGAGCTTGTGAGAAGTGGGGTGTGACTAAGTACGATTACAAACCACAGCAACTTTATTAGCCTGTTTCACAGTTCTGAAAGAAAATGACCAACTCTGACACTAGAGCAACTCAATTACAGGGTTGTCTTTTTTCTGGGTTTGAGGACCAGATGGAATGAATGAATGAATAGGACAATAGTTAATGTGTTGCAGCCTTGTGATGACTGTTATAGTCCACTGTGCTCTCAAAAGGAAACATACACTACCATTTCCAAAGCCGGTCGAGACACCCCCTAACCAACAGAATCATCATCTTTAAGAAATTGTACATCACCAATGAAATAGAATTGATGTCTATTTTACAAATCAATTTTCAAATCATAAAAAATAAAAATAAATCACAAGGCAACAAAATGTCAGGGTCACCTTTTCCTCAGCTTTCCATCCCTCTAATCTCCTTGGTGTCATAACAATGAGATTACAGTAAATAAGCCACATCGGCCATCTTGCAGTGTTGGAAGAGGAATTGAGGGGGAGAAGAAGACACGTTTCCTTTGCGTGTGTGAGAGAGTAGGAGAAGGGGGGGGGGGTTCAGGATGGAGTGGGGCTGGGGGGTTCCTCTGTCTTGGGGTCCCAGTCTAAGGGGCTCTGCCTGGGGCATTCTGGCTCCCCAGCCACCGCCCTACTGCAGTCTGTGTGTGGAGGAGGTTGAGAAAGGGAGGGACTGACACTAGAGAATAAAGTCTCTGCTTCCGGGAGTCCTCCCATTGGAGGAGAGGGAGGAGAAGGCGGGCCTGATGCTGCTGCACTGCCGCTACAGGCCACTCTGGTTTTGATTTCCACTGCCATCAAGCTGGGACTGGTGCCATCTGTGCCCTCTCCTCTTCCACCTCCACCCCCCATTCGAATCTCCGCCAGCACGCTGAGGCCTGCCTCAGAAACACCGACCCTCCCCACCCCTCTGGCCTCCCCCAGCAACCCCCCTGCCGTGCTCTCCAGCAAAGACCCCCCCAGCTGGGGGGCTGAGGAGGAGGACAGGGCCTCCGTGATGATGGCTGTCGTCTCCGCCATCCAGTCCAGCTCCGTCGTTGTCAACTCTCCTACGGCCCCTTCTGACGTGGCGCTGCTGGCCAGGCCGTTGGACTGGGAAGCCGGGGTCGCTGAACCTTGGGCCTGGGCCACTGAAGAAGCCAGGGGCTCGTCTGGCGGTCGGACCTGGCTGTTGGCTTCCCCTCCCTGGGCTGGGGCCACTGCTCCAGCTGCAGCGGTGGTGGTGTTGTTGTTGAGGTTGTCCTGCAGGGCCGTCTGGTTACCCCCCTGGCCGGCCTGCTGGTTCTGCAGCAGCATCTCCTGGATACGGATCTGCTGCAGGATGGCCGGAAGCTCGTAGTGGTGGAAGAAGTAGATCATGGAGTGCTAGTGATGGGGGGGGATGGAGAACAGAGATGGAGGAGGATCAAGTAAGTCTGTGTTTAAGTCATGGCATTAGAAACAGGGCCTGGAGAGGCTGTAACATAGAACAAGAGATGTGGCTGGCCTGACTCCAGTGGCTAGATCTCAAATCACAGGCTAATCGCTACATTGGCTAATCTCTTTGGTCCAGCCAATAGCATTAGGGCTAAACCATTAGCATCACACACAGTCACTTCTATAGGGGAACAGATTTATTCAGGAAATGTATTTAAATTGAGTTTGAAAACACACCAACCAAATATGACCTTTTTTTTTAGCTAATGAATAATAAGCAGGTATAACAGCACAATAACATGTCCACGACTAAAAGATAAAGCACTTTCCAGCTCAGTGTCCTGAATAACTGGTGTGTAGGCCTCGCGGAAAAAAAGGAGTAGCCTCTAGTGTTTTGACAACGTGCTCGTATTCAAAATGCTGGAGGATGGAGTGTGTAGGCTACTAAACACACACACACTTTGAAATCACACTACAGTTTGAGTGGGTTTCCTTTCTCTAGTTAAGTTTTTTCCTCAAACCCTTCTCACCTGTATGAAGAGCCAGGAGGTGACCAGAGCCAGGCTGCTGTACTGGCCGTTAAAGCGGTAGTGGTAGGCGTAGAACGCAAAGTGATACAGATAGAAGAACCTGCAGGAGACAGAGCCTCCTCAGAGAGTAGCCGAAAATAACAGCATCATACTGGACAGACTGACAGAGAAATGGAAAGACTGTCTGGAACTGGAGAGACAAAGTGATCAGTTGTTTGTAGTTGTATGCTAGTGGGGAGAATAAGCAAATTAGTTCAACTGAGATCATAGAAATACAGCAAATAGAGAGTTCATGTTCCAGGGGCACTTTCTCTCAGCCCATCCCCCATTTGATGAGAGAGGAGGGTATGCACTGTTTACATCAGCCAATGGCATTTGCTGGTGTTGGTGTGTTGAACTCACCTCAGCCAATGACGTTTGCTGGTGTTTGTGTGGCAGCAGATGGCGTCGTACTGGTCGGCCAGCCACACGATGAGGATGATGTAGAAAGCGGTGGTGGTGTCGTTGAAGAACTCCGACATGATGGCCTCCATACCTGGGAGAGAGGGAGAGATTCGTACCACCTGTTCAAACTACAAACCACCACAAGACCCAGCTTGTTGTAGTTACATATGCAGTCGAATATGTTGGCACCCTCGGCACTTTACAATGGAGTGCAATGGACAGAAAGTTCAGTTCTCTCTTTTCAAAACTTGTTGAATGACTTTATTTTACCCTATAGGCACCTACAACTTACCACAGGTGAGAAATTACACAGTAAATGAGAATCATTGCCTCCAACCAAATTAATTTGAAATTTTAATATTTTTAAAAAATCATACAAAGACACGTGTTAACACCAAAAGTATTTTACATTTCAACTAATTTTAGAAGAAACAGAAAATCACGCAAAGGTGCCAATATATTTGACCGCATCTGTAACTGTAGAAATTGCAGCTCAATGGAATGACACTCTTACCCACAAGAGCCAGGATGACGGTAAGCAGAGGGGCTGCTGGGAAGGCGATGGTCATATTCATCTCCAACATCTGCAGCAGGTCCACTAGGGAAACAGAGAGGTTAAAGGTCAGAGACTGAGCATCTGGCATATAGAGACATACGGCACGGCACTGAATATTTCTTCCAGGACTGCTAGCGTTGAGAGGGGTGTGAGTGTGACTCACCAATGAAGACAAAGATCTGGTGGTGGGAGTAGCGCAGCAGCATAGACACTGACAGGGTCTGTAGACAGAGGAAAAAATTGAATCCCTCTTTCTTTTCACTCTCCCTCTTCATTAAAGACGCCAAGACAACAGCTTAACTTATCTTTCCATGAATAACCCAGGGAGAGTTAGTTAAGCGCCAGCTAATTTATCATACCAAATATGTTCTATTGTTTTGGTGAAACTTTATAGCAAGGAACCTAAATGAAGGTTTCTCATGGGCTTCATTTAACACTGGATTTTTTGCAACTTTGACAAAGGTGTGTGAAGACTGCTACTTACGAATATTACCATGATGACAAAGGCAGCCAGGTAGGAGGTGCGGGCCATCCACATGCTAACAAATCGGTAGTGTTCCCCGGACACCACATTCCTGAGGAAGCCTGTTTTCACACACAGAGCACCGATCAGAAACACACACACACACAGCACCGATCAGAAACACACACACAGAAGCACCGATCAGAAACACACACAGAGCACCGATCAGAAACACACACACACACACACAGAGCACCGATCAGAAACACACACACAGAGCACCGATCAGAAACACACACACACACACAGAGCACCACACACCACACACACACACAGAGCACCGATCAGAAACACACCACACACACACACACACACACACAGAGCACCGATCAGAAACACACACACAGAGCACCGATCAGAAACACACACAAACCGATCAGAAACACAACACAGAGCACCGATCAGAAACACACACACCATAGCACCGATCAAAACACAACACACACACACACACACACACCAGATGCACCGATCAGAAACACAAACACACACACACACCCACACACACAGAGCACCGATCAGAAACACACACAACACACACACCACACACACACAGAGCACCGATCAGAAACACACACACAGAGCACCGATCAGAAACACACACAACCGATCAGAAACACACACACACACACAGAGCACCGATCAGAAACACACACACACACACAGAGCACCAATCAGTAACACACACACACAGAGCACCAATCAGTAACACACACACAGAGCACCGATCAGAAACACACACACACACACACACACCAGAGCACCGATCAGAAACACACACAGAGCACCAATCAGAAACACACACACACACACAGAGCACCAATCAGAAACATACACACACAGGGGCTGCACACCACCAAGGAAAGAAAGACATGGGAGAATCCCTGACACACCATCCCTAAGCACCATGTACCTTTGTCCTCCTCGTTCTCTGCCAGAGCCTTGACACTAGACATCAGGATGTCATCGTAGCCCAGAAACTCATCCAGGAGGAGGCGACTGAAGCTGTCCCCAAAGCAGTGGTCCTTCATGGGGTCTGCACACACAGACACACGATTAGGATACACACACAGCCCGTCCTATCCTCAAACACTTGTTTGTGCTACTTCTAGCAGACTTGTTAGTGTTATGATGACTACTTATCTTGCTGGCGATACCGGTGTTTCTACAACACCTACAGTGAGGGAAAAAAGTATTTGATCCCCTGCTGATTTTGTACGTTTGCCCACTGACAAAGAAATGATCAGTCTATAATTTTAATGGTAGGTTTATTTGAACAGTGAGAGACAGAATAACAAAAAAAAAATCCAGAAAACACATGTAAAAAAAATTATAAATTGATTTGCTGTTAATTAAGTGCTGTTATTGTGAAGTGGAAACATCTAGGAGCAACAACGGCTCAGTCGCGAAGTGGTAGGCCACACAAACTCACAGAACGGTACCGCCGAGTGCTGAAGCGCCTAAAAATCGTCTGTCTTCGGTTGCAACAATCACTACTGAGTTCCAAACTGCCTCTGGAACAACGTCAGCACACTAACTGTTCATCTGGAGCTTCATGAAATGGGTTTCCATGGCCAAGCAGACGCACACAAGCCTAAGACCACCATACGCAATGCAAAGCGTTGGCTGCAGTGCTATAAAGCTCGCCGCCATTGGACTCTGGAGCAGTGGAAACGTGTGCTCTGGAGGGATGAATCACGCTTCACAATCTGGTAGTCCGACAGACGAATCTTGGTTTGGCGGATGCCAGGAGAACACTACCTTCCCCAATGCATAGTGCCAACTGTAAGGTTTGGTGGAGGAGGAATAAATGTTCTGGGGCTATTTTTCATGATTCGGGCTAGGCCCCTTAGTTCCAGTGAAGGGGTATCTTAACGCTACAACATACAATGACATTCTAGTGCTTCCAACTTTGTGGCAACAGTTTGGGGAAGGTCCTGTTCCAGCATGAAATGTACCCATGCACAAAGTGAGGTCCATACAGAAATGGTTTGTCGAGATCGGTGAGGAAGAAGAACTTGACTGGCCTGCACAGAGCCCTGACCTCAACCCCTTTGGGATGAATTGGAATGCTGACTGCGAGCCAGGCCAAATCGCCCAACATCAGTGCCCGACCTCACTAATGCTCTTGTGGCTGAAAGGAAGCAAGTCCCCGCAGCAATGTTCCTCTAGTGGAAAGCCTTCCCAGAAGAGTGGAGGCTGTTATGACAGCAAAGGGGGGGGACCAACTCCACATTATTGCCCATGATTTTGGAATGAGATGTTCGACGAGCAGGTGTCCACATACTTTTGGTAATGTAGTGTATGATTGTTTATGACACCTGCTATGTCATGGTTAAGGTGGTGTTAAGTAGGCTTAATAACATTGCTCACCAGCTATGACTGTTCATGACACCTGCCATCGTGTGCTATATCAGTGTTAAGTAGGCTTTACAACAGCTTACCCAGCGTGACGACCATGACGGGGATGTTGAGGCGTTGCCGGGTGGTCTGGGACAAGCGGAGGAAGCCGTACTCCAGAGAGTACTCCACTATGTATTCCTCCTGAGGCCACACTGAAGACACACACACACCCACACACAGGTAAGCAGTGCAACTTACCACATCCCACCAACACAGCAAACGCCCTGCAGCTCACCAACCCACCAACACACTCTTGCATCGCATTAGAACTACTAATATTTAAACTAGCCTATAAGTTAAAACCCATCTAAAATGGCAGAACATTGACAGAAACGCATTGACATTCATAAATATTATGCTAAAAGCTAATTAAGGAAAGGAGGAGTCAGGCTTACACAGACCATGCATAGCACAGAAAAACATTTAGAATGGTTAAAACCAATGCAAGGACAGACGGGGTCACAGACACACGGCACAAACTGGGCCTAAACTAAAGTCTGGAGCCTGGCTCTCAACTGCTACTGCTGGCCCGAGCTACAAAGGGTCAGCTCCAAGCCAACACACACAGTCTTTGTCTGGGCAGAGCCAGTGCCCACTGGGGAGGTGAGATGGCATCCCGACATGGCCACACAGTCGGATTCAAACAGTGTTCCTTGACAACAACAGCTACAGGAAGTCGCTGAGGGGCAGAAGACAAGGGAAACACATTTTTGGAATGCAATCATGGAGGTGACCAACAACAAGAAGATGGCCGGAAGGGCCAATAAGGGAACTAACTAGCAGGAAGAGGTGAAGAGGAAGAACGGAGCAGTGAAAGGAGTGGATTTCTCACTCACTGGGGGGGGGGGGGGGGGGGGGTTTACCTGCTCGAGTTAGCATCTCAATCTGGGAGACTGTCTCCCTCAGCGGCTGCATACCTTTAGTGGGCGCCTGGCTGAAGGAGAGGTCCTGGCTGTCGTTGAGGCCCCCTCCCCCATGGCCACCGCCGCCACCGCTCAGCGAGGGCTTCAGCCGCGGCTCGATGTCAAGCTCAAACTGACAAAGAGAGAGAAAAAAACTTAGTGAGTTAATGTGTGAACGATGCAGGATTATTGGTCTCTCTCTGCCTTTAGCCTTACTCTCTCAGCCCCTCCCTCCCTCCACGCCGGTAGCGGTGCCTCACCCTCACAGAACTGTTGTCAAACATCTCTAGGGTAATCTCCTCCTCCTCCTCCTCCTCCTCCTCGTGATGCAGCGCAGCCAGGCCCAGGAAGCCGTCCGTGTCGTAGAACTGCAGGAAGATGGGCGCACGCGACGAGTTGCGCTGGATCTCCACGCGCAGGATGCCATCGCGCGGCCACTTCTCCCGCACGTGCTCCAGGCAGTTGATAGGTGAGCGGGAGAAAGCGATGTGGATGTAGGCCAGGATGAAGAGAACAAACAGGGCCTGGTGGAAGAAGAGAGAGGGTGGAAGGCATTCACTTCTGGCAGATGGGAGTCTAGAGCAGTATTGAGATGGAGGTCAATTTGGGATTGGCCTTTACAGATATTTAATAATGCTGAAGGGGACACAGTTACTAGGATACATGTTTGTACGTTCCCCCTCCTGCACCACTGTTAATGTTGATGACAATCACATTGCCAGAAACAGAAACAAAAGATAGTTCACATTAGAGCTGACCACATTTAGTCGACTGGTCGATTGTTCGGTCGATCAAGATATTTTTTGTTGAGCAGTGGCAAATATAAAAAAGTTATTGCACGAGACACCTGTCTGATTCACGCTGTCTCAGTGGACTAATCCATTGTGGAGGCCGCAGGGATACACACCAGTATCACCACTAGTACATTTACCTTAATTCCCATCATTTATCATCTATATTGTTTGTTTGGTTACGTTAATTGCTGTTAAATGCATTCAATATATTATTATTATTATTATTATAATAGTCTTACCGTTGTCATTGTAGGAGTGGATATACTGTTTGCAGAGCACACAACCTAGGCTACACAAAGTGTTTATTTCATACCATTTATGAGTTGTGAATTTATTCATTGTCTTCTGTTTGGAGCGCTCCTGTCAATCTTGAGTAAGGGCACGCACCTGATTACGCATATAGAAGTAGAACTAGTCTACCTGGCCTGTGCGCAAATGTAGGCCTATAAACGTGCCCATTTGGGGATCTGATACTAACTTACCATCACTGTGGAGCTTCTCAAAATCATTTTTTCTTTGCTTCAAACAGCAAGTAAACAAAGTCTGTTTTGAATGACAATAGTTCCTCAACGTAGCCTATTTGAAAAATCGTTTCCAGCTCTCTCCCTTTCGATTACCACTAGCATGAAAGGAGGAAAAACATTTCATGCTCTGATCCGGTGGAAACATAAAAATAGGCCTACCTGATTACTTCTTATCCCTTGCGCAAAATAGTCTACAGCAATGTCGGTCTGTCAGGAAACTCTGAGGGCCCAGAACATTTTATACAATGTGGCAAGTTTGCTAGCACAAGCTTTTCCCCAGACCAAGTTAATACATTAGTTGATACAATGTTTCAAGTTCCTTGCAGACAGGCCAATCTGATTTATAGGATATTTATTTTTATCCTGATATTTTCAACCTGCGGGCTGCAATGTTTTATTTGTAGGCTATTTTTACATATTGGCAATAAAAGTTACTTTTAGATTTGTATCATTTTCATTTAGATAGAACTTTGATTAACCACATGACATTGATTTTGAGATATGAAGACTTCATGTCGGAACAGGTTTTTTCCTTCTGGTTCGGCTATATTTATCTCTGGCACCCTCTTTAGTAATTTGTGTCTTACTTCTTAAATCGCAGTGCTTAAAACGTCAGACAAGCTCAGTAGCCTACATATAGTTGATTTTATTCAAACATAGGGTGTGTCTATACAGTGCCTTCGGAAAGTATTCAGACCCCTTGACTTTTTCCACATTTTGGTAGGTTACAGCCTTATTCTAAAATGGATTAAATTGTTGTTGTTTTTCGAGCCTCAATCTACCCCATAATGACAAAGCAAAAACAGGACTATTTATTAAAAATAAAAAACTGAAATATCACATTTGCATAAGTATTCAGACCCTTTACTCAGGACTTTGTTGAAGCACCTTTGGCAGCGATTACAGCCTTGAGTCTTCTTGGGTATGACGCTACTAGCTTGGCACACCTGTATTTGGGGACTTTCTCCCATTCTTCTCTGCAGATCCTCTCAAGCTCTGTCAGGTTGGATGGGGAGCGTCGCTGCACAGCTATTTTCAGGTCTCTCCAGAGATGTTTGATTGGGTTCAAGTCCGGGCTCTGGGTGGGCCACTCAAGGAAATTCAGAGACTTGTCCCGAAACCACTCCTGCGTTGTCTTGGCTGTGTGCTTAGGGCCGTTGTCCTGTTGGAAGGTGAACCGTCACACCAGTCTAAGGTGTTGAGCGCTCTGGAGCAGGTTTTCATCAAGGAGCTCTCTGTACTTTGCTCCGTTCATCTTTGCCTCGATCCTGACTAGTCTCCCAGTCCCTGCCGCTGAAAAACATCCCCACAGCATGATGCTGCCACACCACCATGCTTCACCGTAGGGATGGTGCCAGGTTTCCTCCAGTAGGGACACTTGGCATTCAGGCCAAAGAGTTCAATCTGGGTTTCATCAGATCAGAGAATCTTGTTTCTCATGGTCTGAGAGTCCTTTAGGTGCCTTTTGGCAAACTCCAAGCGGGCGGCCCGTCATGTGCCTTTTACTGAGGAGTGGCTTCCGTCTGGCCACTCTACCATAAAGGCCTGATTGGTGGAGTGCTGCAGAGATGGTTGTCCTTCTGGAAGGTTCTCCCATCTCCACAGAGGAACTCTAGAGCTCTGTCAGAGTAACGATCGTGTTCTTGGTCACCTCCCTGACCAAGGCCCTTCTCCCCCGATTGCTCAGTTTGGCCGGGTCGGCCAGCTCTAGGAAGAGTCTTGGTGTTTCCAAACTTCTTCCATTTAAGAATGATGGAGGCCACTGTGTTCTTGGGGACCTTCAATGCTGCAGAAATGTTTTGGTACCCTTCCCCAGATCTGTGCCTCGACACAATCCTGTCTCGGAGCTCTACGGACAATTCCTTCGACCTCTTGGCTTGGTTTTTGCTCTGACATGCACTGTCAACTGTGGGACCTTACATAGACGTGTGTGCCTTTCCAAATCATGTCTAATTAATTGAATTTACCACATGTGGACTCCAATCAAGTTGTAGAAACACCTCAAGGATGATCAATGGAAATAGGATGCACCTGAGCTCAATTTCGAGTCTCATAGCAAAGGGTCTGAATACTTATATAAATAAGGTATCTGTTTTTTTATTTGTAATAAATGTGCTAAAATTTCTAAAAACCTGTTTTCACTTTGTCCTTATGGGGTATTGTGTGTAGATTGCTGAGGATTTTGTATTTATTTACTCAATTTTAGAATAAGGCTGTAACGTAACAAAATGTGGAAAAGGTCAAAGGGTCTGAATACTTTCCGAAGGCACTGTATCTGGAAAAAAATACTTTTAAAAATGTCGACCAATCGATTGGTCGAAAGAATAGACGACTCTTGGTCGACTAAGATTTTTTTTTTTTTTACGGGGACAGCCCTAGTTCACATACAGTATGTGCAAGGTTTGAGGAGCAGCAGAGAGAGATTCTATCAGGGTTGGGGTCAATTCCTTTTCAATTCAGTTAATTCTGGAAGTAAACCAAAATTCAAATTTCAATGTTCCTCAATGCTTCTCACCAACCCTGGATTCTATATATCAAACGGGGGAGAAATAGCCTAAAGGACATCACAGAGGCTGCTTAGTGAATGTGACCACTACAAAGACAAAGGATAGATTCCTATAGAGAGCAGTCAGCTGAGGAGAAATGTGTGGTGCTAGAGAGCCTGTCTATTTATAATGGTTATCTTCAATAGGAAGCCAACACACTCAGAACATCAAAAAGATGCTTGTATCCTTGTCTGTCCAAAGCTAAAGTGTCTGTGACGACAGAGAAAGGGAACATGCCATTTTGTTGCACCTCCATTGCGTCCCAATCAGTAGCGGGCGGCAGGCAGGTGCCTCTGCAAATGGCTGTCCATCTCTCTACTCAGTCCTTCCTTTCTCTCCTTCTCTCTGCATTAGAACATCGCTCTTATCTTCCTACTGTCTGATAACACACTCAGGCAAGCAGATTCCGACGGCCAGTTTTTTTTATTGTCATATATACCGGATATGTGCAGTGAAATGTGTTGTTTTACAGGGTCAGTCATAGTAGTACAGTGCCCCTGGAGCAAATTAGGGTTAAGTGCCTTGCTCAAGGGCACATCAACAGATTTTTCACCTTGTCGGCTCGGGTATTCGAACTAGCGACCTTTCTGGGTACTGGCTCTAACCACTAGGCTACCTGCTACCCTAGCTAACAGTTAGGCCTGGCGCACCTGTCACTGTTGACCCAACTGCTGCTTGATCACAGTATGTGTTTACACGCACACACACCTTGACTGCATAAAGCCCTATTAAACATTCTCAATCTCTGATAGAATTCTGAAACTAGCTGACTGGGAAAAATCATTTTGAACAGTCATCCAACTCGGAATTCCAAGTCGGAGAAACTGGCATCTTTCTACAACTCCGACTTTCCAACCTGAAGATCACTGACGTCAGTGATCTTCAGATCTCGTTTTATTTTTTCCCCCAGAGATACCGAGTGGTAGCTAAATACGTACATAGATTTGTTTATTTGGGCGGAATAGTTGGAACCACCGATCTGATGCATTCAAGTGGAAATTGTTTACTTCTGTTCTAGCCAAGTGTAAGATTTAAGATCCAACTAATCCACACATCAAAACAGAGGTTTGACTTGTTCAAGAACAGTGCAGATGCAAAGTTTGGTAACAGAATGGGCACAAACCGTAATTCTGTTACCAAACTTTGCATCTGCACTGTTCAAGTAAATGTGGTTTTGTAAAATGTTCAGTGGAAATTGTCAAAAGTAGTCCTTGTGCATAGAGTTGTATGGCTTGTTTAACTTTGAAATCATTGTTTTTTGTTTTACATACATTTTAAAGTGAAAAATCTGAGCAGCATCATTCTGTTACCGTGGAATTGTCCCTTTCCTGTGATAATTGGAAGAAGTTATAAAATGAATGTACAAAACTAATTTATTTGGAGCAAATTAGCCTACCGTCCTTGGAGAGGGTACTTGATATCCTATCCTTGACATTTTGTAGCCTACATGAAGGTAAAATCATGTGAGGGGAAAGTCTTACCTTTAGTAGGACAAAGAACTCGAAGATTCTTCTGAAAGACGGTGGAAACAATCTGGCATAGGTAACTGCCATCTTGAAGAATAGGGCATGGAAAAGTCTGTCTCGAACATTGATGAGTGGGTTTTGGTTGATATTAGGGTTTCGTATCCTGTTCGCCCCGCCATTGTTATTTAGCGGGACGTTATTGTTCACGTTGCCCTGGTTTTCTGACATGTTATCTCTGGCAGGACGACTGATAGTGACTTGCTAGCTATCTCAATCCAGGTCAAACGTGGCACCAAAAAAAACCCCAAATGTAGGATGGTGCAAAACTGCATTAACCCAATGCAGTAACGCAGGTGTCAGTTTACACAGAACAGTCACAATTTCTAGAGGTGACCAATTTGATGTCTAAAGGGGCTGTGCTGCACTACGACCATGTCGTAGAAATTGATGAGAAATAGATATAGCTATCCGGCTACAAACTCGTTCGTTCCACACCAGCGACCGAAGCTAACTAGTGAGTTTAAATACAACTTAGCTAGCAAGCGAACGGTTTGTATTAATCTAGTTAGCAATGGCACATTAAGCAATGTTAAAATCTTCTTTAAAATAAGCAATTTTCTATTAACAGTTGTAGGCCTTATAACTAAGCGTCAGTCAACATTCACACCCTGGCTAGCAAGCTAGTTACCTGCAACATAGCTATCATGCTAGCTAGCACTGCTACCACGCAACCTTCCGAAGAAGCAAAACTATTGATGATTGAGGTTATCAAGGTATATTCTTAGTATATTATGTTAAATTCACTGTTATCCAGTTGTGTCATTGCGAATCACCAGAAATGTCCCAATAAAATAATAACAAGTTACTAATACCCTGCTCACGCTAAAATACGCTAGCTAGTATCGCTGACGACGTTCAAGTTCTACGATGAGAACCCTTGTTACTTTTTAGTCGAGAGTTCGCGTCGAGACTGTCGATCATCTCTGTTTGATTTGTCAGATGGAAATTATGAGTATGGTTCCAGTTTGTGCTTGAATAATCCCTTGCTAGTTAGTTGTTGCAATACTCTCAACGATTCACTATTCCTTAGCATAGCCTGGGAAGCAACAACAAGGCAAGACAAAATTTAAGGAAGAAAGTCTGACAAGAAGAGTCGATTTCCGCGAGCGCCCTCTGTAGATGGAACGTCCATACACATTTTTATAAAGATATCATACAAAAAGTAATATCCAAATAGTGAAAATAATATGCTAGATTAAACTTGTTATTCATTTTCGATGAAATTACACTCTACCAAATACATTTACAACGTTGTTTTATAAAATAATAAGGCTGCAGGCAACTGAAAATACTTCTAAATTCGCGTCAGGGGTCCTACCGCAATATCTTTTTTTGTAACATTTTGTAGGATGTATGGTAAGGAGTACATTTATTTATTTAACGTTAGAGATTTAAAATCTCACCTACCATCTCTATAAATAAGAAATGTAGCTAAATTTTTAGAAGTTCGTCTGATGTAGTTCCTTCATGATTTGGGTCTAACGTACTACATTACCATATTGCTAGCTAGCTAACTTGCTAGCCTTAGCTAGCTCTATAAGCCAGCTAATTGAAGTAGGAGATACTGCATTTTAGCTAGCTATATGCATATAACAGATGTATACAGATAACTACGTTAACTAACATAAGTGACGATGTTAGCTCGAAGAAGACGACTATTGCAAAGAAGTAGATGCAAGTAAATTTGACATAGAATTATGTGTGTCTTGTTTGTGATTGATATAGCTGCAAAGTGTAGCCCCGAGACGCCGTGCAAAGTGCAATCAAGTACATGAAGATTGCAGATTGAACATACATTTCTCTGATTGTACAAGGACACTTACTCAACCAGTGAAAAAGCATATGGTTGAGTGATGGAGGTGGCCTATGTTTGTGAGTGGGAGAAGAGACCCAAGAGCAACCACTATCCTTCCATCCCACTGGTGTGTGCCTGGTCCTGCAGGAACCTCGTTGCCTTCACCACAGACCAAAAAATTGAGGAAGACGAGAAAGGTACACAAATGTGCTTGGTACTGATCTTGTGACCGTTTTGATGTTGTGTGTTGCAAGAGCACAGTAGGAATGTGAAATCGAACAAATCGCATTGCCAGTATCAGGTTTTCATATGTAACTCAATGTAATTCATTTTGCATATGTAACTCAATGCCTCGTGACTTCATTAGCAGAACATGCACTGCAGTAATCACAGTGATTTGCTTTATTTCAGAAGTCAGTCATATGGTCCACATCATTGACACAGAGCACCCATGGGATGTGTACTCCATTAACTCTGGACATGGCGAGGTCATATCCTGTCTGGAGTGGGACCAATCAGGTGGGTCAACATAGTAGCAATACCAAAACCACCACCCTTAAAGGTACAACTGCCCTATCAGTCCAGATATACTGATGTGGAACTCAATACAATGCCAAGAAGTGTCCCTAGTGTATTGAGTTAACATGTTGTGTGTGTGCATGACTGCGTTCATTCGTAGGTTCCAGGTTGCTGTCTGCTGATGGAGATGGGCAGATCAAGTGCTGGGCGATGGCAGATCACCTGGTGAACAGCTGGGAGAGTTCACTAGGGAGTGCAGAGGACGGAGACCCCATCATAGCTCTGTCCTGGCTGCACAATGGAGTCAAGCTGGCTCTGCATGTGGAGATGGTAATGGACCACCAGCCTGTTCTCATATTCACACAGTCTACCAGCTCTTCTCAACTGTCTGTGTGGACCTTATGATTTATTACCTTGTCAGTATAAGTTTAAAGCTCTTTTTTTATTTTACATTTGAGTCATTTAGCAGACGCTGTTATCGAGAGCGACTTACAGGAGCAACTAAGGTTACGTGCCTTGCTCAAGGGCACATCAACAGAATGTTAACCTAGTCGGCTCAGGGATTCGAACCAGCAACCTTTCGGTTACTGGCCCAACGCTCTTAACCTCTAGTCTAGGCTACCTCTTGAGATATGAGATATGCTGTACACTGGCTGTGGAGCACTGCACATAACAGCATTTAACAACCATAAAACAATATATACTGGGACATAGAACTGTCATTTGCCACTTAGTTCATTGAAATATGCCACACCCCACTCTCTCTCTACCTCCTCCAATCTTCCTCCCCCAGTCGGGCTCCACCAACTTCGGTGAGAAGTTCTCGCGGGTCAAGTTCTCGCCGTCGCTCACGCTGTTCGGGGGTAAGCCCATGGAGGGCTGGCTGGCAGTGACTGTGAGCGGCCTGGTCACCGTGTCCCTGCTGAAGCCCAACGGTCAGCTGCTCACAGCCAGCGAGAGCCTGTGTCGCCTGAGGGGCCGCGTGGCCCTGGCTGACATCGCCTTCACCGGCGGGGGTAATATTGTGGTGGCGGCCACGGATGGCAGCAGCTCATCACCTGTGCAGTTCTACAAGGTAGGTATTAGCTAGCGATGATATTACACAATTATATTTGTTATTCTTATTGTTACTGGCTAACACCAGAATGCAAATGCTTTTTATTTTCTTGTAAAGAGGGTTTACCGTCCGATAATATGAAGTTTTACTCCAACATCAGTTATTAAGTACTGCTAGTATCGCAATAATATTATCACTGACTTGTCGTGATGTACAATGTCCATTGTCGTCCCAACTCTACATCAAGGTGTGCGTGAGCGTGGTCAACGAGAAGTGTCGCATCGACACTGAGCTGCTGCCCTCGCTCTTCATGCGCTGCACCATGGACCCGGTCAGGAGGGACAAGTACCCGGCTGTCACACACCTCAAGTTCCTCACCAGGGAGAACTCTGAGCAGGTGAGAGACACACACTGTGAACACGTTGCTTTCCAAGTGTCCTTTATTCTGAATTCTTTCCAGCTTTATCACTTACCAGTATGCCAAATGTGCATTCAAACAGTGTAGTGTATATGGGACTAAACCGCGATATGAATACTCTTTTAGGTGCTGCTGTGTGCCTCCAGTCAGACGGGCAGCATTGTAGAGTGCTGGTCATTGCGGAAGGAAGGCCTCCCTGTCAATAACATATTCCAACATCGTTCACCAGTAGGTAAGGCAGAGAACGATAAACCAAGGAAGAGCACACTCTAAACCCAATTATAAGTATTATTGTATGTCACTAATAGGGGGCATTTCAATAGTTTTTAAAGTTGTTTCCAATTGTTGGCCACTTTAAAGAACCTTTTAGGCATCCTCCATTTTGTTTTCAGATCAATACAGTTAAAGGAAAGGAGACCAGTACATGATTCTACAATTGAGATGCCCCATAAAGACACACCCCTTTCCCCTCTCCTTCCCCACAGTGGGCGAGAAACAGCCAATGATCCTGAAATGGCGCATCCTGTCGGCCACCAATGACCTGGACCGCGTGTCGGCCGTGGCTCTGCCCAAGCTGCCCATCTCCATCTCCAACACTGACCTAAAGGTGGCGTCGGACACCAAGTTCTGCCCAGGCCTCGGTATGTGCTGATGCCAAATAACCTGTCATTGCCCCTCCACATCTACTATTGAGCACTTCAGGTGGCAGCATACACCTTTACAGAATGTTGGTTTGCAGCACTATTAAACATGCCAAAGAAGAAGTAGTTCTATGCTCAAGAAACATGGTAGGGAAGTGGTACCTACATGGATGTGTCCCACACAACATAGTGGTAACATGACACATTGATGCATAATGGCAGAGAAAGTGATGAGTGGAATGTCCCTGTCTGTCTGTGTGCTGTGTTGTCCCTGTCTGTGTGCTGTGTTGTCCCTGTCTGTGTGCTGTGTTGTCCCTGTCTGTGTGCTGTGTTGTCCCTGTCTGTGTGCTGTGTTGTCTGTGTGCTGTGTTGTCCCTGTCTGTGTGCTGTGTTGTCCCTGTCTGTGTGCTGTGTTGTCCCTGTCTGTGTGCTGTGTTGTCCCTGTCTGTGTGCTGTGTTGTCCCTGTCTGTGTGCTGTGTTGTCCCTGTCTGTGTGCTGTGTTGTCCCTGTCTGTGTGCTGTGTTGTCTGTGTGCTGTGTTGTCCCTGTCTGTGTGACGTGTTGTCCCTGTCTGTGTGACGTGTTGTCCCTGTCTGTGTGCTGCTGGGGTCCATCTCAATGCCTCCCTCTGGAGATCAATAAATTGAATTCAATTGTTTGTGATTCTGTGTGGTGGTCCCTCCCAGGCCTGGCCCTAGCCTTCCATGATGGCAGTATCCAGATCCTCCACCGGCTGTCCCTCCAAACCATGGGCGTGTTCTACGGCTCCTCCTCGGGCTCCTCCCAGCGGCCCGGGGATGAGCCGGCCATCAAGCGGCAGCGCGCCGGCAGCCCAACCGTCCACTTCAAGGCCCTGCAGTTCTCCTGGACCTCACTGGCCCTGGCCGGAGTGGACAACCACGGCAAGGTGAGAGTGCAGCAATGCGTTCAGATCCGTTGACTGTGGAGTGACCTTAAATGTCACACACAGTACGATATCAGCACGTCATCACCCTTTTATGAAGACGGTGAAAAGGCTACTCCGGATTTGATGTTGTAAAGCTTAGATGGCTTACGTTTTTGATAAAGGGAAACATTTCTAATTTTTTACCGTCAATGTCCCTTGAATACACACCCCAGCCATTGGTGTTAAATCTTACAGGAGTCTATGATCTGCAGGCAATAACGTATGAAAAAAGAAAATGTTCCTCTCGTACAACAGCAAGCTGTCCATGTCCTTATTCATGGTTTTTGAATCCATCCCGGGCCATCCCTCAGATAGGAACAATATTTGTATCCATATTTTTACATCTCTCTTTTGGCTCTTCTTCCCTCAGCTGCACATGATCCGCGTTTCTCCGTCCATGGGCCTGATGCTGGACATGAACACACTGCTGCGCCACCTGCTGTTCCTACTGGAGTACTGCATGGTGACTGGCTACGACTGGTGGGACGTGCTGCTCCATGTGCAGCCGAGCATGGTCCATAACCTGGTGGAGAAGCTGCATGAGGAGTACATGAGACAGAACCAAGCCCTGCAGCAGGTATGTGGACCATGAGGAGACAGATCCAAGCCCTGCAGCAGGTAGGTGGACCATGAGGAGACAGAACCAAGCCCTGCAGCAGGTAGGTGGACCATGAGGAGACAGAACCAAGCCCTGCAGCAGGTAGGTGGACCATGAGGAGACAGAACCAAGCCCTGCAGCAGGTATGTGGACCATGAGGAGACAGAACCAAGCCCTGCAGCAGGTATGTGGACCATGAGGAGACAGAACCAAGCCCTGCAGCAGGTAGGTGGACCATGAGGAGACAGAACCAAGCCCTGCAGCAGGTAGGTGGACCAGGGTCGTGTTCAGTAGGGCACAACATAGCAAAAATGTTTTGCAACAGGAAATTGAATTATACAGTATGTTCTTATTGGACAAATTCGGGTAGTACTTGTCATTTCAATACACAACCCAGGGATCCCCGCTGCATGGCATTCGGTCAGACAGACTAAAATCTGTTGATAACAAATTTGTGACAATGGATGGAGGTGTTTTTGTTTATTTGTTTTTCTAATATCCAGTGTCTGTGTTTGGTAGGTGCTCTCGACACGTATCGTGGCGGTTAAGGCCTCCCTCTGTAAGCTGTCGTCGGCCACGGCAGCGCGAGCCTGCGACTTCCACGCCAAGCTCCTCCTCATCGCCATTAGCTCCACCCTGAAGTCCCTGCTAAGGCCCCACGTCCTCAACACTCCAGACAAGAGCCCCGGGGACAGGCTGGCAGAGATATGCGCCAAAAACACTGACACTGGTAGGAGGACTAGCATCACTACCATTTATACTTGTATAATCAATGAATAGACGGATCCCACTTCTGACACCAATTTCACTTAAAGTGAGGCTGGAAAAAGGAATTCTTGTCAGTTTGAACTGAATGGGATTTGTACATGGTGGCCTATTATTGTTGAACAGACTCTAGGCGAAGGCTGCCTTATTTGCCCCCCTATCAGCTTGCTAGTATCTACAGTGTGTGTCGTTTTATTTCAAGACTTCAGTGATTCTGGTGAAGATTGACCCCCCCCCCTCCTCCGTAGATATCGATAAGGTGATGATCAACCTGAAGACAGAGGAGTTTGTGTTAGACGGCCCCCCGCTCCAGTCTCTGCAGCAGCTCATCCAATGGGTGGGAGACTTTGTGCTGTACCTGATGGCCAACCTGCCCAATCAGGTGGGTTCCCAGTACACCACACATTTTGTTTTTGTAGATTCACTCGTACATTTTTATGAATAGAGCTACCAATGTAGGCCTTTCACAACGAGCTACCAATGTAGGCTTCACAACGAGCTGAAAAAGGGTGCGTTGTTGCTCCAGAAAAACTTTTACACAAGATATGATATTAAAAGAATGTAATGTTCAATCAAATGTAGGGCTGGTGCTAGTATAGAGTGTGTCCATATTAATCTGTCTGTCCTTCAGTGCTGTCTACCTCTGTATTAACCTGTGTCCTCTCTCAGGGCTCCATCGTGCGTCCAGGCTTTGGGTTCCTGCGCGACGGTTGGTCCCTGGGTATGCTGCGGGAGATGATGGTGATGATCCGCATCTGGGGCCTGCTGAAGCCTGGCTGCCTGCCCATCTACACAGCCACCTCGGACAACCAGGACAGCATGTCGCTGCTCTTCCGCCTGCTCACCAAGCTCTGGCTCTGCTGTAAGGATGAGGAGAACGTGTAGCTGTGGACTATATATTATGTGTCTGTGGGTATGTGGGGTTAAATGTGCCAGAGATACCTTAGGTTATAACAGTGTCGTCTGTCTGTATATCAGTCTACTCAGTCCATTCTGCTGTGTCTCTTTAGACCTTATATCAATCTATGTACGTGTTCCTATGTGTACCTGGCTTTCACCCACATATCCCCCTCCCAATCCCCCTACCAGCTCGGGATGAGGGCCACCCCCAGGAGCCAGATGAGCCGCTGATAGACGAGTGCTGCCTGCTGCCCAGCCAGCTGCTGGTGCCCAGCATGGACTGGCTGCCCGTCAACGACGGCATCATCTGCAAGCTACAGGGCAAGCACCCGCTGCGGCTTCAGTTTGGCAAACCTTACAGCCTGCCAGGTCTCAACTCCACAGCCCAGGTGGAGGTCTTCTCCAGGTAAGAGTGAGGCCTCAGGAGAGGGCTAGCTGGTATTCAGGGGAAAGGTTGTCTACCACCTGGTAGGCTCTTTAGGGTTAGAATTAGGTGTAGTGCTCTTGGCCGTGGCAGTGAACTACATTTGGCCCACATGGCACACAGTTGTCCTTTTGACAATGTTTGTGGTAAATGTGCTTCTTCTTAATATTGCTAATATTTCAGTCAAAGCTCAGGTGAAGCCTTCCTGACAGATGCCATTGGTCAATATATTAATTGTGCGTGTCTAGGAGCCCGGGGGTCCAGAGGATGGATAATCTACGTTGTCTCTACATGGGTGTCTGCCCCACAGAGGACAGCAAAGCCTGTACCAGGTCAGAACCCATACCACTTCCTCTATCACCTACTCCCCAACACTTTTCCTTCATTTTTATATCATTCTACCGTTTTTTTCCCGGTCTTGCTTTTTCAGTCTGACCATGCCTGTGTTGACATTCACTCTCTCTTTGCCTACCTTTCTTTTGGTGTCTTTCCACCTTCTTTATTTTGCTCTCTTTCTCTTCCTCTCTTCCTCTCTCTCTCCATCTCTCTCTTCCTCTCTCTCTCCATCTCAGGTGTGGCTGTGTGACTATGCTCCGCTCGCCCAACAAGACCAACGCCATGAAGCAGTGGGAGCAGCGCTGGATCAAGAACTGCCTTTGCGGAGGCCTCTGGAGAAGGATCCCCTCCACACTGTCATGAGATCTGTCAACGGAGACCACTATCAACGCAAACCCTGATCTCAGGTCAGCCTTTGGACAGTAGCCTGCATGACGCTGCTGCCTCTTAGCAGATATCTTTGGAGGACAAGTACTGGATATCCATACGGTTGTGTTTCAAAGATGGCTATTTGGAGAGGCTGTGATCATGGCGTCATTGTTTTCTACCTGTAAATAGGAACCATGTGTTTTTTTATGTCTCTTTTTATATTCAAACCCGTGTCAAGAAAATAAAGTTTATTTGGGGACCTTATGGTTGAGAGGTGTGGCTTTTCTGTTCGACTCCTATTTGAGATCTGGATGCTTTTGCTCATATTTTCATGTAAATATTGCATTGATGTCAATGGGAGATGTGCGCAATAATGAGCGTTTGGCTCTTGGTGGATGATTTGTGTGTTAGATGTAGTTAGAATGTAGCGCCACTGGGTGGCTCTAGACGTCTTGTGCATAGAGCCTAATCTGGTTTTAGTCTTGTCATGTGCACCAGGGATTAGACGAAGGAACTAGTAATGAGAAGGATTAATTTAAGATGGGTTTTATATCAAAATGATGGGTTTACGTCACACTCCACGAAGAGGTTCCATTTAATAAAAAAGCAGAGATGTTCCAAATGCAAATTATTTTGGTCATCAAAAAGAAAGGAGGACCAAGGCACTCTTCATATAATTCATTAAAATGTATTTATTTGTATGGCATGTTCACTGGAAACAAAGATTAAAAACTCTGACGCTTATCGGCTGCATGGCCTTCGTCAGGGAGTACAAAGATATGATAATACAATGTCCTCTTTTGAACAGCTTTTTCCAATCAACCCTGATTTGAAGAGGGAGTGGTTACAGAATTCATTGGACAACACCTATTAAGCAATACTATACACATTAAAAAGTGAAATACTGTAGATATGTTATCAAAATGCTTCACAAGGCTAGAAGCATCAGAACCCCTAAAAAGGTAGTTCTAACCTTGAATATAATAATAATATGCCATTTAGCAGACGCTTTTATCCAAAGCGACTTACAGTCATGCGTGCATACATGTTTTGTTTTTTTGTGTATGGGTGGTCCCGGGGATCGAACCCACTACCTTGGCGTTACAAGCGCCGTGCTCTACCAGCTGAGCTACAGAGGACCACAATCAACCCTGGGCAAAGTGTTAAGAATAGGAGAGCCATCTATTTTATAGTACACAAGAACACAGCAAAAATGTCTGATGATTGTGTAAGGGTCTTGTCTAAAGGACTGTCGTTTGCCCCCACATACTCAACTAATGAATTCAATACAGAGATCGACCTATTTCGTTTCTACAGGAATCTACATCTGAAGGCCTGGCACAATAAAAACATCTCTCCAACTACAGACACCAGTGTTTCAGGTCAGGCAGTTCTGTGCCCTTAAAAACACCTTTTAAGCCCAACTCAACCTTTTGTCCCATTGTCCAGAATGCCACACTAAATACATTTGCAAAGAAGGTGAATTTTGATGTGGAGAATCTGTTAAGGGTCAAATTTACTCTAACCAAACATGATGTAACCTTTCTAAGACAGAGAGGGATGCAGTTGAATCATTGTCCAAAAATGGATGGATTGTGGTTAAAAAAGCAGACAAAGGTGGGGCTACAGTAGTGTGGAGTAAAGACAAATATGTGACAGAAGCCTATCGTCAATTAGACAATGATGAATTCTACCAATATCTTACCTTCAACCCTACAGAGGACCTAAAAACTGAATTGAAAGGGATCCTCACAGAAGCTAAGGAGAACGGCTACATTTCAGACAATGAGTTGAAATGTATTTTCAATGTCAGTGCGGCTTCTTTTTATCTTCTTCCAAAAGTCCACAAGAATCTTGAAAACCCCCCAGGTAGACCAGTCATTAGTGCTAATGAAGGTCTGACAGAACCCATCTCCAAGTACATTGATTACTTTCTTAAGCCTTTTCTGCCGTCACTCCCAGCCTATCTTTAAGATACCACAGATATGTTGAACAAAATTAAGAAATTGAACAATATAGGTACAGCTTCCTTTTTAGTCACCATGGATGTGTAGTCTCTATACACCACCATTGAACATGATCAAGGATTGGCAGCTATGCACTGTTTCTTGAGTACCCGGTCTGAGACCGATGCCTCCCACAGAATTCATTGTCTCACTGACTGAATGGACTCTTATTAATAACATCTTTCAGGACCGTATTTTTAAACAAGTCAAAGGATGTGCCATGGGAGCTCGCTACAGCCCTTCCTATGCTGGTTTGTACTTAGGTAAGGTGCCTTGCAAAAGTATTCATCCCCATTGTCGTTTTTCCTATTTTGTTGCATTACAACCTGTAATTGAAATTGATTTTTTTTTGGATTTCATGTAATAGACATACACAAAATAGTCAAAATTGGTGAAGTGAAATGAAAAAAATAACTTGTTTCAAAAAATTCTAAAAAATAAGTAACGGAAAAGTGGTGCGTGCATATGTATTCACCCCATTTGCAATGAAGCCCCTAAAAAAGATCTGGTTCAACCAATTACTACCTTCAGAAGTCACATAATTAGTTAAATAAAGTCCACCTGTGTGCAATCTAAGTCTCACATGATCTCAGTATATATACATCTGTTCTTAAAGGCCCCAGAGTCTGCAACACCACTAAGCAAGGGGCACCACCAAGCAAGCGGCACCATCAAGACCAAGGAGCTCTCCAAACAGGTCAGGGACAAAGTTGTGGAGAAGTAAAGATCAGGGTTGGGTTATAAAAAAATATCAGAAACTTTGAACATCCCACGGAGCACCATTAAATCCATTATTAAAAAATGGAAAGAATATGGCACCACAACAAACCTGCCAAGAGAGGGCCGCCCACCAAAACTCACGAACCAGGCAAGGAGGGCATTAATCAGAGAGGCAACAAAGAGACCAAAGATAACCCTGAAGGAGCTGCAATGCTCCACAGAGGAGATTGGAGTATCTGTCCATAGGACCACTTTAAGCCGCACACTCCACAGAGCTGGGCTTTACGGAAGAGTGGGCAGAAAAAAGCCATTACTTAAAGAAAGCAATTGCCAAAAGGCATGTGGGAGACTCCCCAAACATATGGAAGAAGGTGCTCTGGTCAGTTGAGACTAAAATTGAGCTTTTTGGCCATCAAGGAAAACGCTATGTCTGGCGCAAAACCAACACCTCTCATCACCACGAGAACACCATCCCCACAGTGAAGCATGGTGGCGGCAGCATCATGCTGTGGGGATGTTTTTCATCGGCAGGGACTGGGAAACTGGTCAGAACTGAAGGAATGATGGGTGGCGCTAAATACAGGGAAATTCTTGAGGGAAACCTGTTTCAGTCTTTCAGAGATTTGAGACTGGGATGGAGGTTCACCTTCCAGCTGGACAATGACCCTAAGCATACTGCTAAAGCAACACTTGTGTGTTTTAAGGGGAAACATTTAAATATCTTGGAATGGCCTAGTCAAAGCCCAGACCTCAATCCAATTGAGAATCTGTGGTATGACTTAAAGATTGCTGTACACAAGCGGAACCCATTCAATTTGAAGGAGCTGGAGCAGTTTTGCCTTGAAGAATGGGCAAAAATCCCAGTGGCTAGATGTGCCAAGCTTATAGAGACATACCCCAAGAGACTTGCAGCTGTAATTGCTGCAAAATGTGGCTCTACAAAGTATTGACTTTGGGGGGGGGTGAATAGTTATGCATGCTCAAGTTTTCTGTTTTTTTGTCTTATTTCATGTTTGTTTCACAATAAAAAATATTTTGCATCTTCAAAGTGGTAGGCATGTTGTGTAAATCAAATTATACAAACCCTCAAAACATCAATTTTAATTCCAGGTTGTAAGGCAACAAAATAGGAAAAATGCCAAGGGGGGTGAATACTTTCGCAAGCCACTGTAAATGGCAAAATGACTTCATTTTGGATCCTTCTAAAAAACAGTTATTTGACTCGATTATATGGTGGGGACACTATATTGATGATGTTTGCCTGTTCTGGTCTGGCTCAGAAGATGAACTTATTTGCTCCCACCAAGACCTTAACAGCATTAACCCTAACATCAAACTAACTATGGAGTACAGCAAGGATAACATTCATTTTCTGGACCATTTTTGGATCAGTAAAAATGACAAAGGCTGTTTGCACACATCAATCTTTAGGAAGCCTACAGATGGGAACATCATTCTGAGGGCAGACATCTTCCACCCCAAAAGGCTAAAAGAGAACATTCCATACGGCCAATTCCAAAGAGCCCGCAGAATTTGCGATCAGGAAACAGACTACAGTGTCAAATCGGGGCTACAGCGCTCAGGTCCTGAAAGATGCAGGTATAAAGGCCGGACGACTTGTCAGAGAGAACTTGGTGCGAAGGGGAGCGCCTTGCGATGCACCAGAGAGAGTGTACTTTGTTACAAAATACAACACTGAAGCAGAGAACATTAAAATAATCATTAAAAAGAATTGGGGAATCATCCAAAGTAAGACGCTACTATGCCAAGTCTTTCCTGAGCCACCAGTCATAAGCTTTAAGAGATGTCCTACCCTAAATGACAAATTAGTCCACAGCTATCTTCCTGGTGACTATCAAAAAATGTGTCTAGACCACAAAAACATGGGCTCTTTTAAATGCAACCAGTGCAACTATTGCAGAAATATTGCACAGAAAAAGTATTTGTTGACATAGCTTCTAAAATTGAGTATTAAGTCAAGCATTTAATTAACTGCAAAACCACTCATGTCTTCTACAGATTGGAATGTCCACAGTGCAAGGTGTTCTACATTGGACGGACAAAGAGATGCCTTCAAGACCGCTTAGCGGAGCACAAGTATGCCATATGGGTAGGCAATGAAGACTACCCCATGGCAAGGCACTACAAGTCCTTACACCATGGTAACCCTGCCTCCCTACAAGCTATGGGTATTGATGTTCCGGCCTCAATTAGAAAAGGGGATCGTCTTAAACAGCTAAACCAAAGGGAACGTTTTTGGATTTACAAACTACAGGCCACTAAGTACCCTGGTTGAAATGAAGATATGGATTTTTCACCTTTCCTGTAGGCTCATGAGAGGTCTCTTTGCTGTCATCTAGTGGACATTTTGCTCCATTGCCCTCAGCTATGTTTAGACGGTTGTGGTCAATGTTTACTGTGTCCTTGTGTATTATAAAATAGATGGCTCTCCTATTCTTAACACTTTGCCCAGTCATATTCAAGGTTAGAACTACCTTTTTAGGGGTTCTGATGCTTCTAGCTTTGAGATGCATTTTTTACAACATATCTACAATATTTCACTTTTTAATGTGTATAGTATTGCTTACTAGGTGTTGTCCAATGAATTCTGTAACCACTCCCTCTTCAAATCAGGGTTGATTGGAAAAAGCTGTTCAAAAGAGGACATTGTATTATCATATCTTTGTACTCCCTGACGAAGGCCATGCAGCCGATACGCGTCAGAGTTTTTAATCTTTGTTTCCAGTGAACATGCCATACAAATAAATACATTTTAATGAATTATATGAAGAGTGCCTTGGTCCTCCTTTCTTTTTGATGACCAATTTACCCATTTTACCAAAGAGCACCTTCTGTCTACCAGAATCTACTATTGTGTACCTGAGCAGCACCTTCTGTCTACCAGAATCTACTATTGTGTCCCTGAGCAGCACCTTCTGTCTACCAGAATCTACTATTGTGTCCCTGAGCAGCACCTTCTGTCTACCAGAATCTACTAGTATGTCCCTGAGCAGCACCTTCTGTCTACCAGAATCTATTATTGTGTCCCTGAGCAGCAGCTTCTGTCTACCAGAATCTACTATTGTGTCCCTGAGCAGCACCTTCTGTCTACCAGAATCTACTATTATGTCCCTGAGCAGCACCTTCTGTCTACCAGAATCGACTATTGTGTCCCTGAGCAGCAGCTTCTGTCTACCAGAATCTACTATTGTGTCCCTGAGCAGCACCTTCTGTCTACCAGAATCTACTATTATGTCCCTGAGCAGCACCTTTTGTCTACCAGAATTGACTATTGTGTCCCTGAGCAGCACCTTCTGTCTACCAGAATCTACTATTGTGTCCCTGAGCAGCACCTTCTGTCTACCAGAATCTACTATTGTGTACCTGAGCAGCACCTTCTGTCTAGCAGAATCTACTATTGTGTCCCTGAGCAGCGCTTCCCTTCCTTCTTTTTTTCTACAGTCATATCTCAGTCATTGAAATAGCGGGAGTGAAATTGACTGTCTAGTCTGGCCGTCCTCGAACGATAGTCTAGCCAAAACTGGGTGAAGTGTCAGTATTTATTTAATTTACCACAAGATTCGATTTCAAGGCATGGTTTTTTACTTTAATCTATATCATTTTATGTCCGTCTCCAATCCTGTATCCTCCCTGAGGCAACCAAGACAAGTGACATTAGATTGATGTAGCCAGGAATGTCTCAGTCAACCAATTCTACCAGAGAGAATCGTCTGTTTCTTTCCCAAGAGTATAAAGGCAAAGCAATTAGCACTCAAATCAATATTTCCTTGAAATCACTGTATTACATAATATAAGCAGATCAGCTTGGTTCACCCCATAAAACTAGAAAGATATTAGACGACCTCTCCTCTCCTTTCAGCCACCAATAAAGCACCTCCTACTGTTGGCACACTGCCCACTTCAGCTAAACCCCTTCAGATGAATTCTGTGCTTTCACTATCTCTCTCTCTGTTGTGGTTGGCTGCTAGCCCTCACAGCGCCTGCACACGATCTGGTCATCTCAATGTGGGCACCTTTCTAATGTGAAACCAAAGGCCATTTTAAAAGACAAAATGAAATTATCTGTCTGTGTGCCGTGTAAGTACATTTTACATCTAGCCTAAATGAGACTTGACATCCTTCCACAACAGTAACCCAACAAATATCAAGCAATATTTATCGTGTTGCACAATAAAGTTTTATTCTATTTAGTTCTGTTATACAGTGCAATGGGAAATTATTCAGACACCTTTTTCCACATTTTGTTACGTTACAGCCTTATTCTAAAATGTATGTAATTATTTTTTTCCTCATCAATCTACATACAATACCCCATAATGACAAAGCGAAAAAAGGTTTTTAGAAATGTTTGCAAATTTATTAAAAATAAAAAACAGAAATACCTTATTTACATAAGTATTCAGACCCTTTGCTATGAGACTCGAAATTGAGCTCAGGTGCATCCTGTTTCCTTTGATCATCCTTGAGATGTTTCTACAACTTGATTGGAGTCCACCTGTGGTAAATTCCATTGATTGGACATGTTTTGGAAAGGCACACACCTGTCTATATAAGGTCCCACAGTTGACAGTGAATGTTAGAGCAAAAACCAAGCCATGAGGTCGAAGTAATTGTCCGTAGAGCTCCGAGACAGGATTGTGTCGAGGCACAGATCTGGGGAAGGGTGCCAAAACAATTCTGCAGGATTGAATGTCCCCAAGAACACAGTGGCCTCCATCATTCTTAAATGGACAAAGTTTGAAACATCAAGACTCTTCCTAGAGCTGGCCGCCCAGCCAAACTGAGCAATCGGGGGAGAAGGGCCTTGGTCAGGGAGGTGACCAAGAACACGATGGTCACTCTGACAGAGCTCCTGAGTTCCTCTGTGGAGATGGGAGAACCTTCCAGAAGGACAGCACTCCACCAATCAGGACTTTATGGTAGAGTGGCCAAGTGGAAGCCACTCCTCAGTAAAAGGCACATGACAGCCTGCTTGGAGTTTGCCAAAAGGCACCTAAAGGACTCTCAGACCATGAGAAACAAGATTCTCTGGTCTGATGAAACCAAGATTGAACTCTTTGGCCTGAATGCCAAGCGTCACGTCTGGAGGAAACCTGGCACCATCCCTACGGTGAAGCATGGTGGTGGCAGCATCATGCTGTGGGGATGTTGTTCAGCGGCAGGGACTGGAAGACTAGTCAGGATTGAGGGAAAGATGAACGGAGCAAAGAACAGAGAGATCCTTGATGAAAACCTGCTCCAGAGCGCTCAGGACCTCAGACTGGGGTGAAGGTTCACCTTCCAACAGGACAACGACCGTACGCACACAGCCAAGACAATGCAGGAGTGGTTTCGGGACAAGTCTCTGAATGTTCTTGAGTGGCCCAGCCAGAACCCGGACTTGAACCCGATCGATAATCTCTGGAGGGACCTGAAAACTGCTGTGCAGCGACGCTCCCCATCTAACCTCACAGAGCTTGAGAGGATCTGCAGAGAAGAATTTGAGAAACTCCCCAAATACAGGAGTGCCAAGCTTGTAGCGTCTTACCCAAGCAGAATAGAGTCTGTGATCGCTGCCAAAGGGGCTTCAACAAAGTACTGAGTAAAGGGTCTGAATACTTAAGTAAATGTGATATTTCCGTTTTTTTGTATTTTTATAAATGAGTAAAAATTTCTAAAACCTGTTTTTGCTTTGTCATTATGGGGTATTGTGTGTAGATTGATGAGGGGAAAAATATTTCTTATCAATTTTAGAATAAGGCTGTAACGTAACAACTTGTGGAAAAAGTCTGTACCCCACACATACAATTATCTGGAACGTCCCTCAGTTGAGCAGTGAATTTCAAACACAGATTCAACCACAAAGACCAGGGAGGTTTTCCAATGTCTCACAAGGAAGGGCACCTATTGGTAGATGGGTAAAAAAACACACAAAAAAACAGACATTGAATATCCCTTTGAGCATGGTGAAGTTATTAATTACACTTTGGATGGTGTATCAATACACCCAGTCACTACAAAGATACAGGCGTCCTTCCTAACTTAGTTGCCGGAGAGGAAGGAAACCGCTCAGGGATTTCACCATGAGGCCAATGGTTACTTTAAAACAGCTACAGAGTTTAATGGCTGTGATAGGAGAAAACTGAGGAAGGATCAACAACATTGTATTTACGCCACAACACTAACCTAAATGACAGATTGAAAAGAAGGAAGCCTGTACATAATACAAATATTCCAAAACATGCATCCTGTTTGCAATAAGGCACTAAAGTAAAACTGCAAAAAATGTGGCAAAGAAATAAACTTTCTGTCATGAATACAAAGCGTTACGTTTGGGGTAAATCCAATACAACACATCACTGCGTACCACTTTTCATATTTTCAAGCATGGTGGTGGCTGCATCATGTTATGGGTATGCTTGTCATCGGCAAGGAATAGAGAGTTTTTTTTTGGATAAAAATTAACTTGATAGAGCTAAGCACAGGCAGAATCCTAGAGGAAAATCTGGTTCAGTCTGCTTTCCAACAGACACTGGGAGACAAATTCACCTTTTAGCAGGACAATGACCTAAAACACAAGGCCAAATATACACTGGAGTTGCTTACCAAGACGACATGAGGGGCCAAGTTAGAGTTTTGACTTAAATCGGCTTGAAAATCTATGGCAAGACTTGAAAATGGCTGCCTAGCAATTAACAACAACCAACTTGACAGAGCTTGAAGAATGTTTAAAATAATAATGTGCAAATATTGCACAATCCAGATGTGCAAAGATCTTAGAGTCTTACCCAGAAATACTTGCAGCTCTAATCGCTGCCAAAGGTGATTTTCAATTAATTAGCAAACATTTCTAAGAACATGTTTTCACTTTGTCATTATGGGGTATTGTGTAGATGGGTAAAAAAAATAATAATATTTAATCCATTTTGAATTCAGGCTGTAACAACAAATTGTGGAATAAGTCAAGGGGTATGAATACTTTCTGAAGGCTCTGTATGCCTCTTAGAGAAATGAATGACCGGAGTGATCTAGTTAGAGCTAACATTAGGGATAATTGGGTGTCTGGTATTAGGCCTAGGTGGTATAAAGACTAGATAAATTCGTATCTGCTGTAGATTGTAGCCATCTGATTTTCAGGGTTAAATTGGTATCATGGGCCCTACAGCAGGGTGCAACATTACAGAATGTTCAGTGAGATACTGTATGTATTCTGTAGAACAGATATGAAGCTTTCATGTTGTAGAGTAGGAAATTGGGTCAACTCAATTCATGTTATTTTTATTTGCAGCATTCTGAACGTTTGAATATGAATTTCTTGTATAGGGCTTTTTTCAGCGTTACATCGAAGTATGGAATCGAACAGGTATGAAACATGGTTATCTGACATCTGGTGACAAGCCTCTCCATACAGTTTTGCCTCAGTCTGAACAGCTGTGAGGTAATATCCTTTACGACAACTACTCTGCTCTATGTACTGAAAAGACCCAGCACAGAATGGGCTTTGACTTCCATTCCACTAGCCTAAGGGGATCCACTCATCCCATTTGACAGTTACTCTCAGCTTCCGTAAAATACACTATCAAAGAGCATTAATCGAGAGCTACAGTATCTTTCATGTTATCGCAGATACTGACACAAATGGTTTCAGACAGTTTCCTGGGGAAAGTGTAGTAAAGATGGGTTAAACTGAACAGATTTGAAATAATCTCGGTCTCCTAGCCTACACTGGTCAAGCCCCATTGCAAAGGTTGTAGTATGTTGTGTTATGGTCGCATCATGATTTTGTTTTATACAGTAAAGAAGTGGAGAGTTTAGTCTCTGATCAATCATCTGCAGACACCTCACACCCTTTCTCTTCCTTGAGCCCTACTCCCAACTCTTGTTCCATGTTCTTCCTTCTTCCTTCATTTTAGTCAGATGTTCTGTTTTCGACTTTTGTTTCTTGTTTTCTCGTTTCTACAATCGTAAAGCAACTTTGTGTCCTTGAAAACTGCTATATAAATATATAAATATCATGCATTATTATTATTATTGTAATTATTATTATTATCACTGACTATGAGTTTTTCACACTTGCTACATGTCCGTCGGGAAAGGGTCAGGGCAATCTGGTTGCCTCAATGACTCTTTCTCAATTGTGATTTAGCTCTCCTGGTGTGCTGGGTGGGCGGAGTTAGCAGTTTTGGAGCCATTCCATTTGTCCTAAAGTGCATATCCCGCCCACCTAGCACAATGGGCGACCTGAAACTCAAGTCTTGAATTGCTGTAAATATTAGTTGTATAAAAGTGATTTAATTAGGCTTGATTGAAGTGAATGCTGGCGAGACTTGAGAGCACTTATAGCAGATATGTCAGACTCGTTCCACGGAGGGCCGAGTGCCTGAGGGTTTTCGCTCCTCCCATGTACTTGATTGATGAATTAAGGTCACTGATTAGTGAGGAACTCCCCTCACCTGATTGTCTAGATCTTAATTGAAAGGAAAAACCAAAAACCAGCAGAAACTCGGCCCTCCATGGAATGAGTTTGACACCACGACTTATAGGTTCTGGGTGGGAAGGCTCTTAACCAGCCCTTCTGTGGCTGTTTTATCCCAACTCTCTTAGATCGCTTCCTTTCCTTGTCTCCTTTCCTTTGTGACCTCTACTAGGGAAACGGACTGGGAATGGTGTTGTAATAGGCCTACACAACATTTTAATAAAAATTGAAAACTCCTACATTCCTCCCTTTTTAGTTCTCTCTTTCAGTCCTTTCAGATCAGCAGTCAAGGAAAGGAAACAAGGAGACTGAATTTCCTCTTGGGACGTAGCCATGCCTCCTGTTGGTCTCCCAGTGCCAGGGGTCCCCTGAAAGCTCAGTGAAGAGGAGAGACCAACAGAACAGACTGATTCCGCTGACTGAGCAGAGCAGAGCAGCCGCTGGTGCAGGCAGGCAGTGGTGGCTGGTGAGTCGTCGAGGGTGAGTTCATGCGAGGCAGCTGTTTCTTCTCGCCCTCTGTCGAGGCATTCGCGCAACAGCTCTGCAGCGAGTGAGCCCAAGGAACAACGGGGGAAGAGAAGGAGGGAGGAGAGGGAAAAATCTATCACAATGTGATCAGTCAATGCGGGGCCATAAACACAGTGAGAGAGAGTGCGAAGGGGAGTGCATTTCCACCGTGTTATCGGCTGCAGCCATGTGAAAACGGTGTCAAGACACTTTTTTTTATCAGCTCAAGAGACGGATGGATCCTTTGGGGTTTTTTCCTTCTTCAGTCTCCTGGGAATACAAAGGATAGAAATTGATTGAATAGGATCTGTTAGGATCCGAAAGGGAATATTAGGCGCCACTGTATTATCAATTAAATAGACAGTGTTATGTTGAGTTGACTCTGTATACCAGGTGGAAGACTGTATTTCCATCTAGTCTATTGATTTAGATTGAGATTCAGAGACGGAATTGAGGATGTAATCCATTGAGGTTCAAAATCCCTTTTTTTCATTGGTTTTAATGAGGAACTATTGTGACACTGGTCAGGAATGTCAAAACAGCAGCGTACCGTAACAGTGTGCCATACGACTTGAACAAATACCCACTAGGTCTCCCTGACCAGTGTCACAATAGTTCCTCACTAAAACCAATGTACTGTACACTTGTTGTAACAAATCCCAACAACTGCTGGTCATCTTTATGTAGTGCTCTTGCAAAGATCTAAATAATAAGTAGACTACACACATTGAACAAAAATATAAATGCAACATGTAAAGTGTTGGTCCCATGTTTTATGAGCTGAAATAAAATATCCCAGAAATGATCCATACGCACAAAAAAAGTGTATTTATCAAAAATGTTGTGCACTAATTTATTTACATCCTTGTTAGTGAGTATTTCTCATTTGCCAAGATAATCCATCCACCTGACAGGTGTGGCATGTCAAGAAGCTGATTAAACAGCATGATCATTACACAGGTGCACCTTGTGGTGGGGACAATAAAATGGCACTAAAATGTACAGTTTTGTCACACAATACAATGCCACAGATGTCTCAAGTTTTGAGGGAGAGTGCAATTGGCATGCTGACTGCAGGAATGTCCACCAGAGCTGTAGCCAGACAATTGCATGTTAATTTCTCTACCATAAGCCGGCTCCAACGTCGTTTTTAAGAATTTGGCAGTATGTTCCAACCAGCCTCACAACCGCAGACCACATGTAACCACGCCAGCCCAGGACCTCCACATCCGGCTTCTTCACCTGCGCGATCATCTGAAACCAACCACCCGGACAGCTGATGAAAATGTTGGTTTGCACAACCAAAGAATTTCTACACAAACTGTCAGAAACCGTCTCAGGGAAACTAATCTGCATGCTCGTCGTCCTCACCAGGGTCTTGACCTGACTGCAGTTCGGCGTCGTAACCGACTTCGGTGGGCAAATGCTCACCTTCGATGGCCACTGGCATGCTGGAGAAGTGTGCTCTTCACGGATGAATGCCTGTACCGGGCAGATGGCAGACAGCGTGTATGGCGTTGTGTGGGCAAGCAGTTTGCTGATGTCAACGTTGTGAACAGAGTGCCCCATGGTGGTGTTGGGGTTATGGTATGGGCAGGCATAAACTACGGACAACGAACACAATTGCATTTTATCGATGGAAATTTTAATACACAGAGATACCGTGACGGGATCCTGAGGCCCATTGTTGTGCCATTCATTCGTCGCCATCACCTCATGTTTCAGCATGATAATGCACGGCCCCATGTCGCAAGGATCTGTACACAATTCCTTGAAGCTGAAAATGTCCCAGTTCTTCCATGGCCTGCATACTCCCCAGACACCCATTGAGCATGTTTGGGATGCTCTGGATCGACGTGTTCGACAGCGTGTTCCAATTCCCGCCAATAGCCAGCAACTTCGCACAGCCATTGAAGAGGAGTGGGACAACATTCCACAGGCCACAATCAACAGCTTGATCAACTCTATCCAAAGGAAATGTGTCGCGCTGCATGAGGCAAATGGTGGTCACACAAGATACTGACTGGTTTTCTGATCTACGCCCCTACTTTTTTTTTTAAAGGTATCTGTGACCAACAGATGCATATCTGTATTCCTAGTCATGTGAAATCCATAGATTAGGGCCTAATGAATTTATTTCAATTGACTGATTTCCTTATATGAACTGTAACTCAGTAAAATCGTAGAAATTGTTGTATGTTGCATTTATATGTTTTATCAGTGTAGTAAATACACTGTCCAAAGAGGAATGTTTCTTGTGTGGAGAGTAAGGGGGCTAGCCTGTCCTGGCTGCTAGCTGCACTGAGTAGTTAATGACCCAGCTGGCCCTGATGCTGTGTGCGTGTGCGTGTGTGTGTGTGTGTGTGTGTGTGTGTGTGTGTGTGTCCGACTGCGAGGAGGTTCCGTTAGGGGTCCACTACGACCAACTAAAGACGGAAGGACCTCGAACGTGGCCTGACCATGACCTCAATCATCGAACGAGAGAGAGAGAGAGAGAGAGAGAGAGAGAGAGAGAGAGAGAGAGAGAGAGAGAGAGAGATTCCATCTAGACACCGTTGCCCTAGAGCACACAAAAAACTATACATACCTCGGCCTAAACATCAGCGCCACAGGTAACTTCCACAAAGCTGTGAACGATCTGAGAGACAAGGCAAGAAGGGCCTTCTATGCCATCAAAAGGAACATAAAATTTGACATACCAATTAGGATCTGGCTAAAAATACTTGAATCAGTTATAGAACCCATTGCCCTTTATGGTTCTGAGGTCTGGGGTCCGCTCACCAACCAAGAATTCACAAAATGGGACAAACACCAAATTGAGACTCTGCATGCAGAATTCTGCAAAAACATCCTCCGTGTACAACGTAAAACACCAAATAATGCATGCAGAGCAGAATTAGGCCAATACCCGCTAATTATCCAAATCCAGAAAAGAGCCGTTAAATTCTATAACCACTTAAAAGGAAGCGATTCCCAAACCTTCCATAACAAAGCCATCACCTACAGAGAGATGAACTTGGAGAAGAGTCCCCTAAGTAAGCTTGTCCTGGGGCTCTGTTCACAAACACAAACAGACCCCACACAGCCCCAGGACAACAACAACAACAACACAACTAGACCCAACCAAATCATGAGAAAACAAAAAGAGAATTACTTGACACATTGGAAAGAACAAACAAAAAAACAGAGCAAACTAGTATGCTATTTGGCCCTAAACAGAGAGTACACAGTGGCAGAATACTTGACCACTGTGACTGACCCAAACTTAAGGAAAGCTTTGACTATGTACAGACTCAGTGAGCATAGCCTTGCTATTGAGAAAGGCCGCCGTAGGCAGACCTGGCTCTCAAGAGAAGACAGGCTATGTGCACACTGCCCACAAAATGAGGTGGAAACTGAGCTGCACTTCCTAACCTCCTGCCAAATGTATGACCATATTAGAGACACATATTTCCCTCAGATTACAGCGATCCACAAAGAATTCGAAAACAAATCCAATTTTGATAAACTCCCTTATCTACTGGGTGAAAAACCACAGTGTGCCATCACAGCTGCAAGATTTGTGACCTGTTGCCACAAGAAAAGGGCAACCAGTGAAGAACAAACACCATTGTAAATACAACCCATATTTATGTTCATTTATTTTCCAATTTGTACTTTAACTATTTGCACATTGTTACAACACTGTATATATACATAATATGACATATGAAATGTCTTTATTCTTTTGGAACTTCTGAGTGTAATGTTTACTGTTAATATTTATTGTTTATTTCACTTTTGTTTACTATCTACTTCACTTGCTTTGGCAATGTTAACATACGTTTCCCATGCCAATAAAGCCCTTAAATTGAATTGAATTGAATTGAAATTGAATTGAGAGAGAGAGAGAGAGAGAGAGAGAGAGAGAGAGAGAGAGAGAGAGAGAGAGAGAGAGAGAGAGAGAGAGAGAGAGAGAGAGAGAGAGAGAGAGAGAGAGAGAGAGAGAGAGAGAGAGAGAGAGAGAGAGAGAGAGACTGCATCCCCTTTGCAAGTGAACCGAGATCCTCTGGCTCGGAATGATGACACTTAAACACCATCTCCATTCCGCACTGCACTGTGACGCATTTCCCTGTGTCTGCATTAAGCGTGGGTGTCAGTGCAGATATGAGGCTTTTCACGCTGGCAGGCAGGCAGAGTGGAGTGATGCAGTGGATGACACACCACCAGACATGACATTTGGATCCATTTATGGGTCCTGCTCACACAGTCACAGGTACAATGTGCTGCCATTACTCCTGTGTCTAAACTCATGTAGGAGAGCCAGTGCTATGTGAATGATAGAGTGCTGTGTTATGCTGAGTTTCTGACACATTTATTATTAGTCATTTATGACTGTGAGACTCCATCTGCTCACTCCTGTTGTAACGCTATTCTTGCCAGGGACAAATTTGCACAGAAGTTACAGGAGAGATAGGTAGGTGTTCTCAAAAAGTATAGCCTACTGTTAATTCTTTGCATGTGAAGTGATTGACTATGCAGAGATAGTAGTAAAACAAAATTCCCATTTCTAATATCTGTATAATAAGGAGCATGGAGCTAAACCAGGACTGTGGAGAATGTGTTGCATGCACTGGCAGTGTATAGTAACGGCTGGAATGCTGGTACAAAATCTGTACCCCATAGAACCCTTTTTGGTTCCAGGTAGAACTCTTTTGGGTTCCATTCAGAATGGTTTTGTCTAGAAGGGATACAGCTTTTGTCAAAATGGACTTTTCCTAGCAGGTTTAGGAGAACTTACACAGCAGGTTAGGATAATTAACGTAGCAAGTTAGGAGAATTAGGTTAAGGTTAGGAAAAATGTTAGGGTTAGGGTTGATGCCAAATTTGACAAAAGCTGTATCCCATCTAGTCATCACCATGTAGAACCCCCCGGGGAAAGTGTTCTACATGGAACCGAAAAGGGTTCTTCAAAGGGTTCTCATAGCCGAA